AAGACCTCTTTCAAGTGCTGAAAAACAAAGATGTGTCCTTGAGGACTAAGGTCCACCTGACACAGGCCATGGTATTTTCAGTCACCTCATATGCATGTGAGAGCTGGTCAATGAATAAGGAAGACTGAAGAAGTGTCAATGCTTTTGAGTTGTGGTGCTGGGGAAGAATGTTCAAAGCACCATGGACTACTAAAACAACTAACAAATCTGTCCTGGAAGAAGTGCACCTGGAATGGTCCTTGGAAGTGAGAATGGCCAGACTTTGTCTCACCTACTTTGGTCATGTTTTAAGAAGGAACCATTCCCTGGAGAAGGATATCATGCCTGGTGAGGTGGTGGGTCAACAAAAGAGGGTAAGGCCTTCAACAAGATGGACTGACACAGTGGCTGCAATGATGGGCTCCAGTAGAGCAAGGATCGTGGAGATGGTGGAGGACCAGGAAGTATTTTGTTCTTCTGTGCATAGGGTTGCTATGAGTTGGAGACGACTCGATGGCACCTAACACCACCACCACCGCCACTTTGGATAAAGGTACAGTGCTTCCTGAAAAAGCTAGAAAATAGAAATAGTCTACAATCTAGCAAGCCCACTCCCAGATATGTATCCTAGAGAACTAAGAGCAGTGACATGAGTAGACATGCGCACCCATGCTCACTGCAGCATTATTCTTAATAGCAAAAAGATGGAAACAATCAAAGTCCATCAACAGTTTTGTTTTCAACAAAACATACATACATACAATGGAATTCTATGCAATGATAAAGAATAATGAGGAGTCTGTGAAACAACATGTAACATGAATGAATCTGAAATATGTCAATCACAAAAGAACAAAAATGATACTCCTTTTATAAAAACTCAGTAATAGGTTTACATACAAAAAGCAACATTCTTTGGTATTACTAGGGATGGGAGGGGGTGGGATGGAGAATCACTTAGTAGAGTAGATACATGAATGGAAAGGCAGTAAGCAATATGGGGGAAGTAAGTACAATGTTACCAAGGTAAATGAAAACACTGGAAGTACACAAGAATAAAGGACAACTAGGGTAACTACTATAACATACACAGTTCTGCAACAGTATTAACAACCAAAAATCTGAATGATTACATAGGTATGTATGCTACAAAAGTATGGGAAGGTGCATGGGAATACATGTGTGTGTATGCATATGTAGGTATACTTGTAGGCATTTTTATCTACATTCTTGTATGTATTGCATATATATTCATAAATACAATAAAGCACCTAGGGGGCACAGTTAAGGACTTCCTAGACATATACAAACTCTATCTGAGTTAATTGGGTTTGAAGGCTCAAGACAATAGTCTCAAGGGATATCTAGATCAATCAGCATAACACAGGTCATAAAGATAATGTTTTATATCCCAATTTGATGAGTAACGTGGGGTCTTAAAGGCTACTAAGCGACCATCTAAGATACAACTATTGGTCTCCTTCCATACGGAGCAAAGGAGAATGAAGGAAAACAAAGACTCAAAGAAACAATCAGTCTAAAGAACTATCGGCCTACCTGAACCACAGCCTCCTCTAGCCTGACACCCTAAGAAATAGATGGTGCCCAACTACCACTAACAACAGCTCTGAGCTGGGACACAATACATGCAATACCTGGGTTATGAACATCTAACTTACTGACAACTTGTACTTACCCTGTAATGTTATATAAATTGCTCTCATTCTGAAACAACTAACCCCCAAACCAAACCAAACCAAACCAAACCCACTGCCATCAAGTCAATTCCAACTCATAGCAACGCCCACTGGGTTTCCAAGGCTGTAAATCTCTACAGAAGCAGATTATCTCATCTTCCTCCTGTGGAGCATCTGGTGGGTTTGAGTTGCCAACCTTGGGGTTAGCAGCCAAATGCCTTACCCACTGTGCCACCAGAGTTCCTATTCACAACAAATTCTTCATCATAATCACCTTTACTTGCTACACATGCAGTTTTTAAATCACTGAAAAGGCTTCAGAACCTTTTTCTTCCACTAAAGTAAGGTTAAGCACGAAATGTAAAGACCTGCTCCAACTTACCTACATATCTGACTTAAAGACACACTTAGGAACAGACCTTGTTCATAACACAGGGAATGCTTATAGAAGGTCCTGGTTAGTATGGGATAGAAAGATAGAACAAGACTCAAATTCATTAAAAAAAAAGACCAGTCTTACTGCACTGGCAGAGAACAGAGGAATGCCCAAGACTATCACCTTTTAATCTGGAACTGAAGCCACACTTGGAGATCACCTTTCAGCCAAATAATAGATTGTCCTATAAAAATAAATAGTAATTTCCATGAGGAATGTGCTCCTTAGAATCTGCTTTACAAGACTAAATAGGCAACATTTGCCCAAAAGCAAAGATGAGAAGGCCAGGAGGGGCTAAGAACCTGGACTGATTGAGAATAGGGTAGGCAGCATAGAAATGGGGAGAGATATTGATACATTATGAGGATAGCAACCATTGTCATAGAACGATTTATGTATGAATTGTTATGTGGGAGACTAATTTGCAATGTAAACTTTCACCTAAAACACACTAAAATGTTTTCAAAAAAAGTTGTTTTATTTCTAAGTACATTTCTACTTAATATTTTATACTTATATTACATTTTTAAGACCTAATTTTTCTTTCTCAGATTTTTCTACTGTGTGTGTGTGTCTGTGTTTACATAGAAAGAGAGAGAGCTTAACTGAAACTCAGGGTTCTCTGAGAACAATTTTAATATATGTTGATACAACTACCAGTACTAACAGTTCTCCAAAATAAAACACTGAAGTATCTGATAATACAACTATGATCTAATAGAAAGACTTCAAAAAGTAAAGGGTTTTAAGACGTACATGGGAGGTACAGACAACAAAGATGAACCCTTTTGCACATATACTACTGCACTGTCAGTGAAGGCAAAAATGGGTATACGGGTAGATAAAAGGGTGGAAAGGCTGAACTATTAGGTATGTTTATTCAGGGGGGAGTGTACACAAGACCATGAATAGGGTTGGCAGACAATGGTTCTACAAGTATATTTGTATGTTCTGTAATTATTCCCAGGTGTATGGTAGAGCTGACAAGGGACAAGGTTGTAATCACTTCTTGGTCACAGCCAGCTACCCAGAGGGACTGAGTAGTTGAACCTGTGGGTTCAGCACCATAGTCACAGGGGACATAGAGCTCAACTGGCATAACATACTACATAAAACATTGTTCCACTCCTACTTTGGTGAGTAGCGACTGGGATCTTAAAAGCTTACAAGCAGCCATCCAGATGCAATAATGGGTCTCTCCTCGTCCACAGCAAAGAAGAATGAAGAAAACGAAAGATTCATGGAAACAATTAGTCCAAGTGACTGGTACACCATGCAATATACAACTATGAGACCAGAGAACTAGTCGTGCCCAGCTACCACTGTCAACCACTCAGAGGGGGATCTACATAGGAGATCCTGTATAGAGAGGGAGAACAATGTGGAACAAAACTCATAATCATTTGGGGAAAAAAAAAAAAAAGGGACCAGGTTTGCTGCTCTCATAGAGCCTGGTAGAACCAATGAGATTATGGCCCCTAGCTGCCCTTCAGGTCTGGAATTGAACCCACACTTGTGGCTTCCAGCCAAACAAAAGACAGGCATATAAGTTGAACATTTATCTGAGGTAGACACACTCCTTGGAGAGAACAATCATGGGAGGAAAAGGGCTGCTTATGCACAGAGAGACAACTCAGGGGGCAGGGGTGCATGGAGGGATGGACACTGGGGAGGGGTAACTATGGGGAAGAAGTGGTAGGGGAGCTGTTGCATTGTAGTAAACTGTGGTCAATGTCATGAGACAAACTATATGTGAACTGCTGTATGGAAAGTGAATTTGCTCTGTAAACTTTCACCCAAATCACAATAAAAAATAAATTAAAAAAAAAGTAAAGGGTTTTAGACTGACTAAAATATACACAAAGAGGAAATATTCTGCACCTGGAAAAAACTGAAAAGAGGTAGAAGCTTATACAATATGTACTGTGGTATATGTGCTTATAAAACAGAAAAACAAAAATATATTCATATTTGCATGAATATGAATAAAATATCTAGAAGGCTACACAACAAACTGTAATTCTTGTTAAATTCTAGGGAAAGAGAACAATGTAGCACAAGGCAAAAATAGGAGGGAAAATTTTCACTTACAATGTTTTGCACCTTTTGAATTTCTTACCCTGAGAATGTAATACCTATTTTTCAAAAAAAATCTAATACTCCTTTCCATGGCATACACAGAGTTTAGCCATGAGACATTATTTTTTTTTAAGTGCTTAATTCTGTAAACCAGAAAAATTAATTCTCTAAATCTACCTGAAACATAACAATCAGGTGTTTTTAAGGGGAAAATGTTTAGGTTAGCACATATTACAGATACAGCACAAAATATCTTTTGGCAAGTTAAATTAACGTCAGTGACAAAAAACAATCTCCACATTTGCACATCCAACCAAAGTAACTATAATGTGATTCTTTTCAGCTGTTCAAGAATAAAAATAGTTAGTTACATCCTATACTAATATAGAAGTCATCAATATGTTACAAAAAAGAATATAATATCCAGGAACCAATTAGGCTGAAAGTATCCATATTCAATGTGAGGGAAAATGAAGAATTTTCCTTAAATTATATAGTCCACCACTTGACTGCTTATGAAGAAAGACTGCTTAGAGAAAAAACATGGCCATTTTATTAAATCACATGATGATTTATATTCATTTAACTAATATAGCTTGATAATAACTATTTGTAGGAAATTATAATGATCAACTTATTTTCAATTAATTGGAAACTGCTACTCTTTCTAAAGCATTTTGTACTTAAGTGATCATATCTCCCCTTGGGGGGAAAAAAATTAAGTATTAGTAATTAGATTGCTACTTGTTTTCACCCAAGAGCTACAAGCAGTCCCGATACAGAAATAAGTAACTACAAATGATCACAACCTGTGTGTAAGTACAATTCTTCTTTTTGCATTTGCCACATGTGAATAAGTCAGTCTGGGTTCCACCTGTCTTGGCCATTTGATGCTCTCTGATGGCTTCTTTGGTCAGGTTTTTCCGCATCTCTTTGAGCTCATCACTAGCCATTTCCTATTAGGAAAGTGGAAATACCAATCAGTTATAGGAACTTTCTACCTATCTGTAAAGCGTTAATGCTCGATTACCTTAACAAAACCAAAATCAAGTTTTAAAGTTTCAGAAGTGACAAATTAGTATTTTTCCTCAAAGGACTTTTAAGAGCTTTCTTCCTTTTAAAATTTCTTCAAGTATCTGTAAGTCTGTATGTGAAAAACAGATTCAATTACTGTTGGAAAGGCTTAAAATGTAATCCCATAGCAATAAGCACTCCTAGAGTCCAGACTGTGATCTCCAATACTAATTCCTCCCACTTCCACAGCTCCAAAGGAACCAGTGACCCTTGAGGGAATATCTGGTTCCAGACCTAAGGCAGAAAATAACACAGAATTAAGCCAAGATTTTTTTTTTTTAATTTTATTGAAATATAATTTATGTACAATAAAATACACAAAACTAAAGTGACATGGGTCAATGCATTTTTTTTTTTGCATTGTTCCCTCCCATCCCCTCCCACCCCTGGCAACCAACAAAGAAAGTTTCCCTCCATATATAAACCTTTCCTTGACCCTCCACAACAACAAACTAATACTATATTTGTCCTTCTGTGACTGACTTATTTCACTCAGCATAATGTCCTCTAAGTTCATCCATATTATGCAGTGTTTTGTAGACTCTACATTATTCTTTAGTGCTGCATAGCATACCAGTATGTGTATGTACCATAGTTTGGTCATCCATTCTTTCGCTGATGGGCACATAGGTTGTTTCCATCTTTTTCCTATTGTAAATAGTGCTGTGATGAACATGAGCATGCATGTATCTGTTCATGTCCTGGCTCTCACCTCTCTAGGATATATACCTAGTAATGGGATTGCTGGGCCAAATGGTATCTCCAATTTCAACTTTCTAAGGAATCGCTATATTGCTTTCCACAGTGGTTGTGTCACTTCACAGTCACACAATCAATGAATGAGAGTCCCAATCTCTCCACATCCCCACCAGCATTTGTTATTTTCTGTCTCATTGAGCACTCATATCAATGAGATATACCATCTCACCCCAGCACTCAAGGTGTGCCATCAGTGCCGGGGTGAGATGGTATATCTCATTGTTGTTTTGATTTACATCTCTCTGATGGTCAATGATTGTGAGCATCTTTTCGTGTATTAGCTGACCACCAGAATATCCTCCTTGGTGAAGCGTCTATTCATGTCTTCTGCCCATTTTTCAATTGGATTGTTAATTCCTTTGCTGTTGAGGTACTGGAGTTTTCCATTAATCTTAGAGATAAGTCCCTTGCCAGATATGAATTTGTTGCTGCCATTTTTGTTATGTGCTTTTCCATTGTGTCGATTTCTTTGTTCCATACAACTTTCTATGCTGAGCTTGTTTTGTTTGTGAATCATGTTATCACTTCCTTCATTGCTATTGTTTTAGTATTTGCTGAATATTTATGCTGGTCCCCTTTTTTATTTTGATGTGAAGGTTTATCATTTTTCTTTGAGGTTACCCTGTGATTTATAGTTTTCTTCCCAAGTGTAGAACAGTCCATTCTATCTTGTAGTTGTCTTGACTTCCCTACCATCTAGAAGTTCTGTAATGACACAGATTTTGTTCCCTCTTTTTGGTTTGTAGCTGTCCTCATTTGTCACTTGGTGTCTCTGATTCCGTTTACAATCTTGTAGGCTTATTAACTTTGGACACTTCCATAGCTGGGTTGGTTTCTGGGTTATATCATCATGTGTGTTAGTGGTCAGTTGTTGTTGATTGTTGTTGCTTCTCTGTCCAAAGGGCTCCCTTTAGCATGTCTTGTAAGGTACATCTGATTTTAACAAATTCCTTTACTTTCTGCTTATCTGGAAATCTCCTAATCTCATCATCATACTTGAGGGACAATTTTGCTGGGTACCTAATTCTTGGTTGGAAAATCTTCTCTTTCAGTGTTTTATATATACCATCCCACTGTGTTCTTGCCTGATGGTTTCTGTTGAGAAATCCGAGCTTAGTCTTACCGGTTGCCCCTTGTAGGTAACTTTTCATTTTTCCTGTGCTACTCTCATGATTCTTTGTATTTGGTTTTGGTGAGTTTGATGGTGATATGTCTTGGTGATTTTCTTTTGGGATCTATCCTGTTTGAGGTTCATTGGACTTCCTGAATGGATATATTCTCATCTTGGTGATTTTCTTTTGGGGTCTATCCAGTTTGGGGTTCACTGGACTTCCTGAATGGATATATTCTCATCTTTCATCATATCAGGAAGTTCTCCTCCAACAAATCTTGGACAATTTTCTCAGTGGTTTTATTTTTCTCTTCCTGTTCTGGACTTCCAATGACATGTAGGTTATTCCTTCTGATGGTATGCCACATAAACCTTAGGTTTTCTTCATTTTCTTTTGATCTTTTTTCTGATTGATCCCTTTCCAAAGAAGTATTCAGGTATTTGTCTTCAATCTCATTAATTCTGTCTTCCATTGCATCAATTCTACTCCTTTGCCCTTTCAGTGTGTTATCTATTTTTGACTATTTAGTATTAGTCTTCTGGATTTCTATCTGTAGATTTAGAGTCATTTCTAATTTTTCATTTATGTTGTCATTTTGTTCTTGTATTTTCTTCCAAAATTCTTCTAGAGTTTTGTCTGTGTTTTCCTTGGTCTAGCTCTCAATCCTCTGAAGATACCTAAATGTAATTTTTTGAATTCTTTATCAAGGAGTTCCAATGCTGTGTCTTTCTCAGGGATGTGTTTTGGGTCTGTATCCTGGTCCCTGTTTCTCCCGCTTTATCTTACTTCTCTGTGTGGACTGTGATGCTCTGTCGTCTCTGAGGCATTGTGACATTTTTGTGTTTATATTTAATTGGTGATTATATGTTGGAGTGATTTGCCCACAATTTTCATTTTCTTTGTTTTCTTTGTATGTTATCTCTACAGGCAGGGTACTGTGCTGTGCTCCTCTATTCACTAGCTGACAGCACTTACACTCACCACCTGTCTCCTTTCCTGTTATCAGCCTCTCGTCCTTGTCACCATTGGCAAACAGAGCCTGTTCTCAGGTCCCTGGAATCCAAATGAGAATGCTATTACTTTAAAATCTGAAATGGTTGCCACTTGTAAACATTCAAATAGCTGCACCCTCGGTCACTTTAAATATCCAATGGCCACCGCTTGTAAACCTTCAAAATGGCTGCACACTTGGTCACTTTAAATATCCAAAATGGCCACTGCTTGTAAATATTCAAAATGGCTGCACCCTCGGTGCAGTCAATTGCTTGATGTGGCCCTTCTAGCCATTGTCCTCCATTCTGTGATGTTTTGTAAATCCCATTATCCATGCCTGTTTGGGGTGCTGTGGTAGTTAAGGTCAGGTATCAACTTGGCTGGGCAGCTGGTAGTAGTCATTCCCTATAATGACTGGCAATCGACTCTGTGATGGGATTTAGGTTAATTCTGTTGGGGCAACACAGGTGGAATGTATCTTGAGTCCTGCCTTGCGGTAGGGTATAATTCAAATCACCACCCTTAGCTTCCCTGAGGGTATACCTACGAATCTCCTGGAAAGATTCGCTCTCCTTTTGCTCCAGCTTTGTGTCTTGGATCATCCTCATCTCACCCCCTGGATTTGGGATAGCAGCTGTCATCTGATCTGCTGATCGAGGTTCATCAAACCCCGAGTGTTGGGAGGATCCGCCAGACCTACTCACGGACCCGGGACTCACCAGCGTGCCAGCCTCCACCACTACTACGTGAGACGAACCCTTGGGTGTCTGTGAGTTCTGTGAGGCGTTACAGCGAAATACAGAACCCTGAGACTGGGGAAATTACTGGGAGGAGGAGGAGGAGTTAATGTCTGAAACGATGGAGTGGCATGGTAGTTTGGACATTTGGGACATCTTTGACCTCCGCCTCATGGGGACCGGCCTCGTGCTGATCTTTCTAAGAGAAATTGTTCAAGCACTCGGTCACTTTAAATATCCAAAATAGCCCCTGCTTATAAACATTCAAAATGGCTGTGCCCTTGATCACTTTAAATATCCAAAATGGCTGCCACGTGTAAATAATCAAAATGGCTAAGCCCTCTGGACAGCAGAAAGTCACAGCTCAGGTTGTCTCCCTCCTTGCTGTGTCCCTTCCTAGTCAGAGGCCATGAGAGCAGTTGTCCCTGCAGCCCTTGGTGACTGGGACTGATCTTTAGGTCAATTCTCAGGTCCCAACACCAATTGGAAATATTCAGGCTGTTGGTCTCGTCAGAGTAGCTGATAGTCCGCAGCTCCGACCGTCTCTGTATTCACTGTTTTCGTTCAGGTTTTTCCACTAGTTGGTGCCTAATCCACTTCTGTATATAGTTCCTTTCAAAGCTCAGGGTTCCAAGGATTATCTTCTGTATCTCTGTCAATTAGTTTTTCTTCTCTTTGTTGAAGAGGGTCCGTGTTGCCTGTCTGCTTATTCCTCCATCTTACTGGAAGAGCAAGTATATTTTTTAAATCAAATTTTATTATAGACATCTTAGAAATCACTGTAGCATATTAAGCCTTACCTTATACTGACGCATGGTGAAACATTCTTAGGAAACCTTCATAATAAACTATTATTTTTCTCTTATTCCCTGTTTTTCCAACTCCACTGCTTAGTCCTCACTTTTTTTCTTTCACATCTAAATTATCAGCCAAGATCACGTTCTTATGCCAGAAAGCATGAACGTTATGAAGACTATTGTGACTTGAGTCAAATGGACACAGGAGCCAATATGAAGAAATTCCCATTGGCCAAAGATAGGACAATTCCAAACTTCAAATTAATTATTTTAAAGAACCAAATCCTGCTAGATAAAAGAAAAACCCAAGAGCCTATAATGGTATTTAAAAACCACACATATGAGAAAACAGAAACTGACAATAGGCAGGGCACTAACTCCTCACTCTGATAACTGGCAACTAAGGAAAAAGAATTACACATTTACCATGCATTTGTTATACAAACCAAGAGGATAACCAACTACCCTAGTTTATAAGGAAGAGTAGGTCTTAAAGAAATCTAGCTAATGAATGTGAAAAGAATGACAGCATTTTAATATTTCTCAAGTCCCAATAAATAACCAACTCAGGCAAGGGTCATCAGCAGATGGATCCATTAAACAAAAGGTTGACGGAAAACTGTTTACAATTCAAGAATAAAGCTGGTTTCTACCACTGACCACTCTCATCATGCTAAGAGTACAGCAACAATACATTTTCTTCCCCTTGATTTGATGTAATATGGAAACAAAAAGCACCACTTATGAAGTACCTATGTAAAAAAAAAAAAACTGAACTTACATAACCTTAAGGTTATAGAACTAGCTTCCAGTTTATACAAAACATGGGGGATAAAACTAAAAACCTTAGGAGACTCAACTAAAGCTAATATGTAGACTCTGGAGACTTCCAGTAAGATGGAGGAATAGGCAGACGAGCGACACAGACCCTCTTCAACAAAGAAAAGAAAAACCAATTGACAGAAATACAGAAGATAATCCTGGAGCCCTGAGCTTTGAAAGGAACTATACAGAAGTGAATTAGGCACCACCGGAAAAACCTGAACGAAAACAATGAGTACAGAGACGGTCAGAGCTGTGGATTGTCAGCTACTCTGACAAGACAAACAGCCTGAATATTTCCAATTGGTGTTGGGACCTGAGAATTGACCTAAAGGTCAGCTCTGGTCATCACGGGCTATAGGGACAACTGTGCTGGTTGCCTATGACTAGGAAGGGAAACAGCAAGGAGGGAGACAACCGGAGCTGTTAACTTTCCACTGTCTGGAGTGTGCAGCCATTTTGATTGTTTACACATAGCAGCCATTTTGAATGTTTAAAAGCAGCGGCCATGTTGGATATTTAAAGTGACTGAGGGCGCAGCCATTTTGATAGTTTACAAGTGGCGGCTATTTTGGATATTTAGAGTGACGGAGGGCATAGCCATTTTGAATTTTTACAAGTGGCAGTCATTCGGATTTTAAAGTGATAACATTCTCATTCAGATTCCACGGACCGAAGAATAAGTCTGTTTGCCAAGGTCGGCAGGGACATACAAGTGGCTGGAAAGGAGACAGGTGATGAGAGTATAAGTGCTGTCAACTAGCGAACAGAGGAGCACAGTACCCTGCTTACGTAGATAACATACAAGAAAAAGAAAAATAAAAGAAAACAAAAATCATGGGTAAGTCACTCCAACATACAATCACCAATTAAATATAAACACAAAAACATCACAACGCCTCGAAGACAAGAAAGCATCACAGTCCACACAAAGAAGCAAGATAAAATGGAGAAACAAGTGACCCAATACAGACCCAAAACACATCCCTGAGGAAGACACAGCATTGGAACTCCCTGATAAGGAATTAAAAAGACTTATATCTAGGTATCTTCGATGAATTGAGAGACAGATCAAGGAAAACATAGAGAAAACCCTAAACAATTTCAAAAGACAATACAAGAACAAAATGACAAAATAGATACAAAATTAGAAATGATACAAAATCTACACACACAAATCCAGAAAATACTAAATTTTCAGAAATAGGTAAAACATTGAATGGACAAAGGAACAGAACTGAATCAATGGAAAACAGATTTAGGGAGAATAACTGAACACTTCTTTGGAAAAGGATCAATCAGAAAAAAGATCAAAACAAAATGAAGAAAGCCTAAGGTTCATGTGGGATACCATCAAAAGGAATAACCTACATGTCATTGGAATTCCAGAACAGAAAGAGACAAGTAAAACCACAGACAAAATTGTTGAAGATTTGTTGGAAGAGAATTTTCCTGGTATGATGAAAGATGAGAATATATCCATATAGTAAGTCCAACGAACTCCACACAGGATAGACCCCAAAAGAAAATCACCCAGACACATCATCAGCAAACTTACCAAAACCAAAGACAAAGAAAGAATCATGAGAGCAGCACAGGAACAACGAAAAGTTACAAGGGGCAAAAAATAAGACTAAGCTCAGATTTCTTGACAGAATCCATGCAGGCGAGAAGACAGTAAGAAAGAAAAAAATTTCCAACCAAGAATTAGGTACCCAGCAAAATTGTCCCTCAAATATGATGGTGAAATAAGGACATTTCCAGATAAGCAGAAATTAAGTGAATTTGTTAAAACCAGACCAACCTTATAAGAGACGCTAAAGGGAGCCTTTTGGACAGAGAAGCAACAACAGCCAACAACAAATGACCATTAACACATATGATGATATAACCCAGAAACCAACCCAGCTATGGAAGTATCCAAAGTTAATAAGCCTACAAGATTGTAAACAGGGAACAAGAGACACCAACTGACAAATGAGGACAACTACAAACCAAAAAGAGGGAAAAAAAGTGTGTCGTTACAGAACTTCTAGATGGTAGGGAAGTCAAAACAACTACAAGATAGAACGGACTGTTCTAAACTTGGGAAGAAAAGTGTAAATCACAGGGTAACCTCAAAGAAAAATGACAAACCTTCACACCAAAATAAAAAAGAGGACCAGCATAAATATTCAGCAAATACTAAAACAATAGCAATGAAGGAAGTGATAACATGATTCACATACAAAACAAGCTCAGCATAGAAAATTATATGGAAGAAAGAAATCGACACCATGAAAAACCACATAACAAAAATGACAGCAACAAATTCATATTTGCCGATAATTACATATCTGGCAAGGCACTTATCTCCAAGATTTATAGCGGAAGAATGGATGACCTAACTATGGTACATGCACATAATGGAATGCTATGCAGCACTAAAGAATAGTGTAGAGTCTGCAAAATACCACATAATATGGATGAACTTGGAGGACATTATGCTCAGTGAAATAAGTCAGAAGGACAAATATAGTATTACTTCTTTTTTATGGAGGGTCAAGGAAAGGTTTATATATGGAGGGAAGCTTTCTTTGTTGGTTGCCAAGGGTGGGAGGGGAGGGGAAGGAACATGCAAAAAAAAAAAAAAAATGCATTGACCCATGTCACTTTAGTTTTGTGTATTTCACTGTACATAAATTATATTTCAATAAAATGCATTAAAAAATATGTAGACTTTGGATGATGATATAAAATAAATGTACAATCAGGATAAAATAAACTAGATATGAGATAATTATAAGAAATTATTGTTAACTTTTGTTACATGTGGTGATGGCAATGTAGTTGTGTAAGTAAAACATCTTATTTTCACATCCATATACTCTCAAAGTATGTACATGTAAAAGAACATAATATCTTGGATTTGCTTTAAAGGTCTGTAGGTGAGACAAATAGTTTGCACCAGAATGCTATTCTAAAGATTGGTGGTTCAAGCCCATTCAGTGGTACCATGAAAGAAAAGACCTGACAATGTGCTTTAAGATCTCATGGAGCAGTTCTATATAACACAGAATCACCACAAATCGAAAGCAACTGACAACAAGAACATTTGCCTTAAAATAATTTAGGAGAAATAAGAAAAAAGGGACAGATGAAGTAAGGATAACAAATTCTTGAATATAAATGCAACTGGATGATGGGCATAATGTATATCATTAGGCTATTACTTGGAAATTTTAAATTAGTTTAATTTAATTTTTTAAGAAATGTATTTTAAAAATATAGCAATTTTTATGAGCTATAAAAAAAGATGAATTCACCCTCTTCAATGGGTATACAGTCAAATTGTACACATAATACAACTACTGTGTATGAAGAGACATGTCTGTCAAAGCAAACTGTGAATTTCATTTTCTCAATCATTCCCTATAAAAATTTAAGAAACAGTCAATAAAATGTCACAAACTTTATAGCATTTACCATGAAAAGAGCTTAGAGGTTGGGTTACAAAGTCTATTTGCAAATAGAGATTAAACTCATCATTTCTACTCAAACCCATATATCAACCCTTCTGTATCTGGGCAATGATTAAACACAATCACTCAAAGATCAGAGTATAGCTGTGGATGGCACAAAGTACTGAAGCCAAGCACCAGCAGATTTAATTACTTTAACTATTTCTCTAGTTATTGTATGTATAAATATATAAAAACAGCTCATGACAATGTATCCTTAGCATTTCTCTATACTTGACACCATGGAATCACATCATGGAAACTTTACATCTAGGCATACTCACCTCTGCTGTCATTCTAGCAAACAAGTCAGGAGGAATGTTCCCACACAGTACGTTTTTTCTTAAATTTGGATTCTTTGCATCCTTTAGATTTGATATCCTACTTCGCACTCTATTTTTGTATTTCATGTCTGTATTCCTTATTTCTTGATATATAGGTACTAAGCCGTTAAGGAAAAATAAGTTTTAATTGTAACTGTAAAGTCATTTTTTTTCCTATTCTGCCAACATAAGAATTCCTGAAATTTCTAAGCAGTTCATCAAAACACTTTAAAACTGTTTTCAAACTCTTTAAAAACTGTTTCTACTTGTTCCTTGAATTATAATTGGCAAATAATAGTGATCATACTTTTACACTGTGAGTAATGTTTTCTCCCTAACATTAAATACCACCAACAGCACAAATCAACAGGGTGCCAAAGAGTAACTCAGGAACTGAACCAAGTGAGCAAAGTTCTGAAAAGGAACCTGAACTTAAGACAAGCTTTAACTTGCTCAAATCTGAATTCTACTAAGATCCTAAAAGTCTCAATGACTACAAAGTTCCCTTGGGGACCTCCTGAGACCACACCATTCAGGATGGACCTGGAGGTCCATTTCCTCCCCTAGCTAGCAAGAAACTAGTCCATCAGGTCTGAAATGTCTCAATAGAAAAACAAGTCATAGCAGAGGCTGAGTTCTGGAAAGCTTCCTTTCGAACAAGGTCAATTCTTCAACTAGGCTATTTTCATTGTTAAACCATCACCTATACGTTCCCTACCCTAGCCCCTCTTTCTGAAGCCTCTTCCATAGTGCCAGCATAAACACACTTCTTAAGTGTGTTTAATAATAATAATAAGCTCAGGGGATAGTGTGTATTCTGCTATGTTTTCCCCAAATACTAATATGTGCATTTTCCATGTCCTTCTGCACAAGCATAATTGAGATGCTACATTCTCAATTTGCAAGGCAGAAAAGTTGAATGACAAGAAAAACAGAAGTAGATTAAAATGGTTACCAGGGGTGGGAGGGGAGGGGAGGGAACGCTGTTAGATAGATAGAGATAAATATTGATTTGGGTGAAGAGAAGGGCAATGTACCAACTGTGAGTGACCAATATGGCAGCATTGAGGATGAGAAAGACATAGAGAGGTACATGGGCAGTACAGACAACAAATATGAACCCTTTTGCATATACAGTACTAAGTTGTCAGTGAAAGCAAACATGGGTATATGGACGGATAGATAGGAGGACAGGCTAAACAATTAGGTATGTCTAAATGGGGTGTATCCAAGATCATATATAGGGTTGGCAGACAATGGTCCTATAAGTTTATGTGAATGATCAGAATTCCCAGGTGTACAGTAGAGCTGACAAGGGGCAAGGTTATGGTCATTGCTTGGTCACAGCCAGCTACCCAGAGCGACCGAGTAGTTGATCCTGCAGGCTTGGGACCATAGTCGCAGGGGACATCAAGCTCGATTGGCATAACATACTATACAAAACATTGTTCCACCTCCTACTTTGGTGAGTAGCGACTGGGATCTTAAAAGCTAGCAAGCTGCCATCTAGATGCAACAATGGGTCTCTCCTCATCAAGAAGAAGAAAATCAAAATTAATGGAAACAATCAGTCCTAGCGACTGGTACACCATCTGATCTGCAACCTATACAACTATGAGACCAGAAGAACTAGATGGTACCCGGCTACCACTGTCATCCACTTTGAAGGGATGTAGGAGATCCTGCATAGAGAGGGAGAACAATGTGGAACAAAACTCAAAATCATTTGGAGGCAAAAAAAAAAAAAAAAAAGAAGGTGGGGACCAGGTTTGCTGGTCCAATAGAGCCTGGTGGAACCACTGAGACTATGGCTCCTAGCTGCCCTTCAGGTCTGGAATTGAAGCCACACCTGTGGTTTCCAGCTAAACAAAGTACAGGCATGTGAATTAAACATTTACCTCAAGTAGACACACGCCCTGGAGAGAACAATCATGGGAGAAGGAAGGGCTGCTTATGCACAGGGAGACAGCTCAGGGTGCAGAAGTGTATGGAGAGATGGACACTGGGAAGAGGTAACTATGGGGAGGAAGTGGGAGGGGAGCTGTTGCATTATAAATTTTGGTCAATGATATGAGACAAAGTATATTTTGTGAACTGCTGTATGAAAAGTGAATTTACTCTGTAAATCTTCACCCAAATCAAAATAAAATTTAAAAACAAAACAAAACAGGAGTAGATTAAAATGACATTGGATGTGCCTTTTCTTTCCCATCAAAACAATATAATCAAAATAGAAACTGGCAAATGAAATTTTGAATGCTATACAGGAAGAAAAAATTACCATTAATAAAGCATATTACTTAAAATAATTAAGAATATATACACAAAGGATATCTTCCTCAATCTGAGATCCTAATTCTTCCTCATCAGCTCCAATAGCAATGTAGTCATCTAAAAATAGGAACAAAGAATTGTCAAGAATAACTTACCTTAAAATTTTAGAAGAAATTTCAATACAGGGTAAACAGTATTCTTATGTCTTCAACCCCATCTGGCTTACATACAGAAGAATTATTTGTTTACTTTCATCAGAATCTGATCTCTTTACTACCCATTAGACTTCTCTGGATTCACCTAATATCCACAGTGCTCCTGCTCATTGATGACGCCTTATCCCTCAGGAGTGGGGAATTGATCTAGCAGCCAATTTCTCACTTCACAATTCCATAAATTCTGGTTGCTCCAGCAGAGAGTAGAGAAAATTACAGAAAGAACTGTCTTGTCTCCTGTGACTCAGGCTTCAATGCAAAGAAATCACTCATTTCATCTGCCAATCACATATATGGACACACTCAGAAGACTTCTATAAATATATTCAAAAGGCTAAAAAGAAATAAAAAGAAACTAGAAAGAAAAAAAAAAACACATAAAGAAATAGCAAAAGAAATCAAAGTAGAAAGGGCAGAGTTAAGAGGTAAAACTAGCTATGATTCAGTATAACGGTAAAGAAAAGGGATGTAATTTGTGTAAAATGATTAATATTCCAGGGTATGAAACTCTTAAAAAGCCAAAATGTACACAGTAAAATTAAGCTCCTATATATATATATATATCAAGATCTCCTTTCTACTTAAAACAAAAGGACAAAATGGAATTAAAAACATACAACAACTTATATACAATGTGGCATCTTATAACCAGTAGGGCCCAAATATAGTTTATCATTAACTCTCAACTTGAATTCAGAGTAATCCGTTTGCAGATTAAATAAAAGGATAAGAGATATTGTGTCTGTGAAAAAAAAAGTTTAAACTACTGTGAATCAGTGCAACCATCCATGTATTAAAATGAATCTGTTTCTTGGAATTATACAGCATGTTCCAAAATATATCTCTTTCCCTTCTCCTTCTCTGACCCCTATTACCAACAAGTCCTACCTGAGCTAAGCAGTACTGGGCAGCTATCAACTGGATGATGCTTACAAGACAATTAAATATGGAGATGTAAATGGTAGTAGTGGTGGTCAAAGTACTGAGGTATAAAACAACATACACTAAACTTACCTCCTGTTCGAAGAGCTGCAGCAAGCATCTCCCTACACTTTAATCGTACAGAATCAGAAGTGCTTGGTGCCCGAGGAAAAGAAGAAACGTAAGTGTCTCGAGGATTTGTCTCATCCTTTCTGCTGCTTACGTTGCCACTGGAGCTACTAAAATATACATACATGCATGCACACACACGTACCAGAAAGAAATCAGAAAAAACTTTCTTAAAGTAACATTACTATCACTCTTTAAAAACAAAAATGTTAGCCTATTTCAGTGAATCTTAAATGAACAAAAAATTTTTTGCCAGTATATAGATTAAATGACTATTTTTCCTCAATTCTCCTTTTAAACATTAAACCATATTTTTAATAGAAAAAAAGACACCCATTACAGCTCAGTATAATAAATGAAAAGCAAGGATTCTGATTATGAGGAGATGAGTAAGGGGATGGGGCTAAAGAATCTGACAGTTTTCAACTAAAACCAGAGAGGAAAAAACACATTTGAAAAACTCTGTTCCAATTGATTCCAAATGGTTCCAAACACCTATGAGGTTATATATAAAATAGCCCCCTCAGCATAAAGGTTGTGTGTACTGAAAAGAAGTTGTGAGAATATAAAATGATTTCTTAATTTCACCACAGAAACATCAATTAAATCTATCATTAGGCCAGTGTAATATATTTTTTTTTTAGTTAACGTAATCATTTCACCTGCTTCTGGAGAATTTCTTGTATTAGATTCTCACTAAAATAAGCCCTTTTCCAAAGTACTTTTCTGTGACTAGTTTCAATCAACTTCCATCACATTATGGATATTTACCATAAGCATTTCTAAAGACTAATTACATCATTCACTCTACAAATCTAACTTGCTGCACTGCTGTGAAGAAACACCTCCTTGCATTATCTCTGAAATACAACCCACTATCAAACTTCACAAACATATCACCGTGGCCAAACCAGACACTAACTAGGGTTAGTCACCTCATTTTTACAGCATTCTCCGATTTCCCCATGCTCCCAAACTCTGTACACCAGTTTGTAGTATGATGACTTTACATACTTTCTTCCCTACCAGGTCAGGCTTCTCAAGAGAACTATTACTTCCTCCTCTTTATATTTTCAGTGCAAAGCATACCATCTATTAGTGATAAATAAATGAACAAACTAATGCTAAAAATCCTACATCTTGAATAATTATATGCTTTTGCCTCTCTGGCTGATAGCCAATGCCTAGCCCCACTAGGAAACTGTTCAGTTGGACTAATGGTGTCTTTTCTTCACTGACTTCACTATTTCTACCTCACCCTTTAAATTTTAATGCCTCCTTCCTAAATATCTCATCACTTTACTTTCTCCTTGAATTCTTGCACCCAAGACATAATAACCCTTCTCAGTTATACGTCATTTAGAGCTAACCTCACATCTTCCTTTAGACAGTACTTCAGACTCATTTCTCCCTTTTTTTATTTCCTTTAATGTATGAATGTATCTATGTATAGATAAATACCAACATTTACTTTATCAGACTTTATACATGATAATTCTGTACCTTTACAGATAGCCTCTATGTCTAAATTTCAAATACCTAAAACTGGTAAAAAATATAGTGAAACCTGTGAGAGCCAGAATTCAATGGTTCTGCCTTGTCTTTCTGGGTCTTGTTTGTTTTCTGCCTCAGACAAGGTCCATGTAGTCTTCTATCACTCTCTATTAGTGGAAAATATCTGCGTTTTCCTTTTCTGACAGGTTTCTGCCTTACACAGCTTTCAGCTTTCACAAGCTTCATTGTACCAAGAACTCTTCCTTCAATATCTATTTAAAATATTTGTCTGTACTTTATGTGTTTAATGCATTAAACTAGTGACTGACTACGGTGTAGTAAATTACCTGGTATGGCTTTTTTAGCCGTAAGTCTTTGTAAATTCCATAGTGGAAGTTGCCATGAGAAACTGAGTAGTCCTGATTGTTAAAGTTTTCCACCTGGGTTATTTCTGTTGGGAGCAACACAAAGTAATTTTCTGGGAACTTCGCTCTCTCTCAGGGGTATAGAATTCTGATGTCAGGACTGGTTAGTGGTCACTCTGCCAGGCTTAAAAAGAGCCCTTCTAGAGGCAGAAGAAGTTTCTCTGACTGTTGGTTGAGAAAGACGTGCTGGTGAGAAAAACACGCTCCTGAGAGACATGCACTTGCTGAGAGAGAGACACAAGAGAAACGCACTGCTGAGAGAGAGACGTGAGAGATACGTGCTGCTGAGAGAGAGAGACGCAAGAGAAACACGCTGCTGGAAGAGAGACTCTTGAGAAAGACTATGAGTTGAGAGACAGCAGGCTGAAAGAGACTGAGCGTGTTCCTGAACTTGAATTGTAGCCTGGTGCTTCCCTAATAAACCCCATAATCTGTGCGTTCTGTGTGGACACTGCGGTGAATTACAGAACTCAGCAGAGAGGTGGTGGGTGCTGCAGGAGAAATGGTTGGTATGAGGGTTGGTGAAAGGGCTGGAAGGAGGGAGCATGCCTGGCCTAGCACGTATAAGCCTTGGGCTACTGATGGCGATTCTATCTTCCTCTTGTGGGATTAGAGGAGGTCAGAAGATGTGGTCTCCCTGCCCCCTTGGCACTAACTGTAATACAATGAAAGCATAAGCTAAAAACATTCATGAATTACGGCATGTACTTTTCAAAAATGTCAAGGTCATGAAAGATAGTAACAGACTGAAGAACTGTTCCAGATTAAAGAAAATTAAAGAGACATGACAACTAAATGAGACGTGAAAACTACAGAGATATGACAACTAAGTGATCCTTGATTAGATTTTGGAAAAATCTTTTCTTTTGTAATAAAGAACATTACTGGGACAACTGCTGAAATACGAATAAGGACCGTAGATCAGAAAAATAATTAATGCATCAATGTTAATTTCCTGGTATTGATTGTATGTAAGAAAATATCTTTTCTCTTAGGAAACACACAATGAAATATTTAGGTATAAAGGGGCACAACATCTGCATATCACTCTTTTTAGGTTTAAAAAAAATCAGTGTATGTAGACATATGTGTGTGTAAATACAGTATAAACATAATTGGGGCAAATGGGTAAAGAATTTATGGAAATTCTTTGTACTATTCTTGCAACTTCTCTAAAAGTCTGAAATTATTTCAATAAAAAGTTAGATAAAACTGCATAAATTTTAACAACTACTCTTTAATCCTACCATTGGCTTACCTTTTTTTAACATCAAGTATATTTAGTGCTAATACATAAAACAACAGCGCATGGTTCTAAGTATTACTAAAAAAATGAGGTACCTTATTAATTTTGGAAAAATACTAAGAAATAAATAGTTAAAATTGATAGCCTTGATATGCCTTAATATTTCTAATATGCCTGTAAGTCCCTGAGGGAGTTACACAGTAGGCAAAAGTTGAAGGACAGAGTTTGGAAGCCTTTGCTCTAAAGTAATGTTTCTAAAACTTAAGAGTGCATCAGGATTACCTACGGGGCTTGTTAAAATAGATTTCTGAGCCCCATTTCCAGAGTTCCTGATTTAGTATTCTAGGGTAAGCCCTAAGAATCTTTATTTCTGTCAAGTTCCCAGGCTCTATGCTCTTCCAGGGACCACACTTTGAGAACCATTGCTCTAAGTGAATGTTTACTGCTAAACCATAAGCTTCCAAAGAACAGAGAAACTACTTACCACTCATGACAGTAATGTGCTGGATGCTGCACAGTTCATTACATGTGATTAAAAACCCAAGCCAAACCTACCGCCATAGAGTCAATCCTATCTCATAGCAACTATTACGGACCCAGTAGAAATTCCCAGTGTTCCCAGGGCTGTAAATCTTTATGGAAGGAGACTGCCTCATCTTTCTCCCATGAAATGGCTGGTGGGTTCAAACCACCAACCTTTTAGTTAGTAGCTAAATGTTTTAACCACTATGTCACAAGAGCAAAGGCCCCATCAGAGCTGAGGATCAATGCAGAATCCTTCATAACTGAACTACACGCCTTAAATTTTATGACAAATGGCTAAGTTTGGAGGGAAAAAAAAAGCATAAAGAAAAGAAAATTAGATCAAGGACCAAAACAAATCTAAGAAAGTGTGGTAAATAGAAAAAGTGGCTATTGAGTCTTTATTTAGTTGTCTCATTATCAGTTTTCTTAGTACCTATCCCAGAGATTCCATCCAATTAAACTTCCTAAGTAAAATGTAAACCATCTATCTCTTCTTATTCATGCAGTGGCTTCTACCTCTCCATTAAATTTTCAGGAAATGTAATAAACCTTAAAATACCTGGTTATGTACATTTACTAATTATGTTTGATTAAAAAACAAAAAGAAAAGCACAATTACGGAATTTAAAGGCCTTGAAGGAAGTGATGAAGCACGTGAAACAACCTAACTTTTCAACATAAATGAATTTACAGAAAGTGAAATAAATACCTTTCTTCTCTTGCTTCAGGACTATTTTGTGATGTAATCGCAGATTCTTTTTTCTTTTCTTCAGAGTCTTTATCAGTTGATGGCCCATCTGAAATTTTATGAAATCCCTAAGTTATTAACATTTGCAAGAAAACAAAACTGAAATACTGCATGTTACCAAGCTATTACTACAAATAAATAAATAAATAAAATCCTAACTTTCAACAAATAAATGAGGTTTATGCAAACTATTCCATTAACATATATACTTCTCATATTTTTTACAATGCATATTCAGTCACTATTCACAAATTCCTTTATTGCTGTTGTTTCTTGTTATGTGCCATTGAGTCGGACCTGACTCATAGCGACCCCTCCTTGGGTGTCCAAGGCAGTATCACTATGGAACTAGATTGCCCAACCTTCCTTCCGAGGAGTGGCTAGTGGGTTTGAACCGCCAGCCATCTGGTTAGCAGTCAAGTGCCTTAGGCACTATGCAACCAGAGCTCCTCAAACTCCCTTACTTGGTGGGAAATACAAATTCATATGCCAATGGAAAAGGTAAAGAAAGTTTATGAAAAAAAAAATCAACACTGTTATCTTAAAAATGAAAGCAAAGAGCACATATAGCAATATTGTTTAATTTTCCATAAATGCAACAAACTTAAGTGATACCCAAAATACAAACAAACATTTCAAAGACCATGAAAAGAAGACATTTCATGGAATAAAATACCTCAGGATTAGTGAAGTCTACCCAGTGCCTTCTCTATTTTAAATCTGTAAAGTAATTCAAAGTGTATGAGCTTTTAGACTTGAGGTGGGCAGTTAAGACACTGGGAAATAAAAGTATATAAAATAGGTGGGATCAATACAATGTTTTAGGATTGTCAAGAAACATTCATGTTTAAATCAATCAAAATGGTCTTGAAGATAGGTTCAGAAAATGTTTGGGTCTACTGTATAAATTACCCCATTTATTTATATTTTGCTCCTTATGTAAGTAATAAGGATAAAACAAATAACTCTTTAAATCTTTACATCCTTCTGTATGCAATATAACACTTGAACACTTTATTCAACTGTATATCAGGATCACCCAGGGAACTTTCCTGTCTAGCAATGAGGTATAAGCATCAGTATCATTAAAAGCTCCCCACATGACTCCAATATGCTGTCTGGGTTGAGAATCCCCAATAGAAAATGATCCCAATTACAACTCTAGAATTTATCTTGTGAAGTCTAGTTTATCTAAACTAAAATACAATTCAAGCCCTCTATGATATAGCACAAGCATATGCCTTTGTTTCCACATACTAGTTTTATTACTGTCTCTAATTCATGGGAAATGCCTCAAAGTCTGAAGATGCTATAGTATTATGTGGCTAAAAAGAAAAGTTACTAATGACATAAAAGAACATGGCAAGGACTAAGAAATACTTCTAAAAGTAATAGGGCAGAAAGCATTAAAAGGGAAAGGTAGATTTAATGATGGAATACTATATAACAATGATTCAATGTTGACAAAGGGATAGTAAAACTGGTTTTTCACACTGCTCTGATAGTGAGAACTGGCATGATCATTATAGAAAACAGAGCAGTAAGAGGCACGTACAACCATGAAAACATTCATGTTGAGTATACACAGCAAGTGGGACATGTTCCAACGCTGGACTCAAGACTGTGGTCAGATCTCAACTCAGTTACTCACCTATAAACTATGTGTAAGTATTTAACCTGTCAGTGGCTCAGCTTCCTCATTATAGTGGAGATCATCATAGCACCTACCACATTGGATTATTGTGAGGATTACATGTATTAATGCCTGGCATAGGATAAATGTATCAACTCTTGGCATATATTAAGTATTCTAAATTGGACTACCTAGTAGCTGTAGTAGTAAATCTTTTTCCAGAAATATAGCTAACAATCTTAAAAAAAAAAAAAAAGCTTTAGGCAGGAAGATATTCATCAAGATATTGATTATAATAAGCATAGTTAAAAAAAAAAAATCTCACCAATCGGTAAGTAATTAAATACAAAGAATTTTCATATAATTTTTACTCAGATTCCCCGTCTGTTAACATTCAGCCACATTTGCTTTCTCATTCATTCATTCTCCATCCCTCTTTCTACATACACACACGTGCACAAACATATTACTTTTTAACTTTTTAAAACAAAGTGGCAGATACATGATCGTTTATACATAAATCTTTTCTTTCTATCTCCTAAGAATAAAGATATTCATTTATATAACCACAGTAAATAATCAGTAAATTTAACAATGACTGAATGTTGTTAACTTCTCTATAGACCTTATATAAATTCTGCCAGTTGTCCAAATAATGATCTTTACAGCAAGTTTTTTCTGGTCCAGAATACAATACAGGATCATATATTATATTTCATTTTCATTAAAACTGTCTTTTTAATTTTAAAGATTTTATCATTTTTATTTCCTAGTTTCTAAGCTTTTGTAATAGGTTTGTTATTTTTGAAATTCTGACAGGTCTATTTTTTCTTCCATGTAAGGCTGATATATTTATTCATAATTATATTTTCTTAATACTCAGATCTCATTTTTAGTACCCTTCTCCTCAAAGGAATGGCTGATTACAGGGCAGAGGAGATGAGCCTGGTACATCTTATTACGCCAGATGTAGGAAAGTGATAAAAAAACACATGGGGTTATGTGTTAGTATCACCTCTCTACTCCCTAATGCCCTCCAGTGCTAAGCAACCACAAATCTACTTTCTGTTTCTACAGATTTGCCTATTCTGAACGTTTCATATAAGTGGAATCATATAATAAAGTAAAGGAGAAAAAAAAACACAGATAGGGCAAGTCCAAAGGACACAGGAACCCGTGACAGGGGCACACATAGGCCAAATCTGGGACAATTTAATTAACAAAATACATACGAACAGTAATGGCTGTTGAGTAAGCTAATACTAGATAAAGAAATACTTGAGGAGAGAGGAGTAAAAGGGCTCTTTCTAATAGTAGAATGATAACATGTAAGTACTGAAAAAGTAGAAAAATTAGGGGAAAAAACCCCACAATTTTGCAACTATCACTAAAAGATCAGTTTAGGCAACAAACAGAGAATATTAAATCTGGAGATATGGTCTGATGAGGAGCAAGTGTCTCTCACAAAATGCCTATTAGTCACAGGAGAAAAGACGATTACACAGTGCATAACTTGACTGAGTTATCAAAATTTACATCAGTGCCTCCAGATGTGACACCTGAGAGGGACACAACATCAGTTAGGTAGCAGTACTTCAAATGCAGATACACAACATGATCTAATCATGAGAAAGGAGCAGAGAATCTCCAAAAAAAGAAAATGCTATTAAACACAAAGGTGCTTGCATTCTTAAAAATGTCATTATCATAAAAGACAAAAAAAAAAAGACTTAAGAACTGTTCCAGGTTAGCAGGCTAGCTAGATAAGTGATCCTGGACTAGATCTTGCTCTGGAAAGGGGGTAAAAGCTACAAAGGACATCATTAGGACAACTGACAAAACTATCACCAATTTGCACAAATGTTAAATTTCCTGTACTATGGTTACATAAGAGAATAAGCTAGTTCTAAGGAGATACACACTTAAGTATTAAAAGGTAAAGGACCATGATAAATGTAACCTATTCTCAATGGCTCAAAAGAGTAAGTTGTGTATGTATATATACATATATATAGACAGGATAAATAAACAAATGTACATACATGTATATACATATATACAGAGAGAGAACATGATAAAACAAATGTGGAAAAATATTAAAAACTGATCATCTAAATAAAGAGTACATGTAAATTCTTTGTAAGAATAAATTCTTGTAAGAATAATTACAAGTTTTTCATAAATTACAAAACTATTTCAAAAACAATTTTAAAAAGCATGCATGACCCTTCTCTTAGGGGAAAATTCAATTTTCTTCTTACTTGAAGAGGTTATTCAATTTTAAGTACTAAAAGTCAAGAAAGCTAAATTCGATAAATTTAAAAAAGCAAAACTCTCAAGGAGGTCAAACATTACTCTTCATCTTTATTTAAAGGCATTGATTTCAGTTAACAATTAGAGCCAAAAAGAGGAAAAAATACAACTATTTGAAAAAAAAAAACATCATAAATATATGTAAAGAAACAAAAAGCCAATTGTACCTAATAACTTTTTCCATGATTTGATGAGAGACTTTGCTAAAGATGTAACTTCTTCATCTGTACTTTGCTTGCGAATAGCATTAACTGACATTCCAATTCTTGTGGACTGAAAGACAACAAAAAATTTGTACAATATTTACAAAGCCATTTAATTTCAGACAATTTAGTACCTCATTTCAGACAACTCAGCGTCTCATCCATGTTTTCTTCTTTCCAGATTTCTGTTCTCAGTTTAGAACAAAACCACTTGAATTTTTTGATGTATTACAATAGTGTATTACAGACTTAAGATACAAACATCTTCAAATCAAATACTGAACTTATTGATGTTCTTATCACTGGAAATCTACAACCATACAACCTGCTATTGTAAAAACTATCAAATTAGTAAAATGAAGATTTTCCACAAGAAAGAAGCAAGAATAAAATAGAAACTGTACTTCTACATAAAGCAAGTAGAAGCAATGACGAATAAATGCACTTCTTTGTTGCTATACATTGTCCTACTTAGATTACATCATAGAGTAATTGCTACAACTTATAGTGAGGATATTCACACAAAAATCACCCTCTACGGAAGTTTAAAAGCATTTTTTCCCTTAGCATAATCAGTATATAATCACAGATACTAAAATGCACTTCACAGAACATAGAGAATTTAACATATGGGAACACAATATGCCTTGGCCTACGCTGTGATTTGGGTGAAAATTTACAGAGCAAATTCACTTTCCATACAGCAGTTCACATACACTTTGTCCCATGACATTGACCACAATTTATCACAATGAAACAGCTCCCCTCCCACTTCCTCCCCATAGTTACCTCTTGCCTGTGTCCATCCCTCCATGCACTCCTGCCCCCTAAGCTGTCTTCCTGTGCAGAAGCAGCCATCCCTTTTCCCATGATTGTTCTCTCCAAGGAATGTATCTACCTCAGATAAATGTTCAACTCATATGCCTGTCTTTTGTTTGCCTGGAAACCACAAGTGTGGGTTCAATTCCAGACCTGAAGGGCAGCTAGGGGCCATAGTCTCAGTGGTTCCACCAGGCTCCATCGGACCAGCAAACCTGGTCCCCAGCTTTTTTTTTTTTTTTCTACAAATGATTTTGAGTTTTGTTCCACGTTGTTCTCCCACTCTATCCAGGATCTCCCACACAGATCCTCTTCCAAGTGGTTGACAGTGGTAGCCGGGTACCATCTAGTTCTTCTCGTCTCACAGTCATATAGGCTGCAGGTCAGATGGTGTACCAGCCGCTAGGATTAATTGTTTCCATGAATCTTTGGTCTTCTTCATTCTTCTTTGCTCTGGACAAAGAGAGACCCATTGCTGCATCTGGATGGCAGCTTCCAAGCTTTTAAGATCCCAGTCACAACTCACCAAAGTAGGAGGTGGAACAATGATTTGTGTAGTATGGTATGCCAATTGAGCTATGGTCCCTGCAACTATGGTCCTGAGGCCACAAGTTCAACTACTCAGTCCCTCTCAGTAGCTGGCTCTGACCAAGAAGTGACTACAACCTTGCCCCTTGTCAGCTCTATTATACATCTGGGAATTCAGATCATACAAATAAACTCACAAGACCATTGTCTGCCAATCCTATACATACTCTTGGATAGACTCCCCGCTTCATGGACATACCTACTATAAGTCCACCCATCTACCCATGTTTGCATTCACTGACAATGCAGTACTGTATATGCAAAAGGGTTCATCTTTGTTGTCTGTACTTCGCATGTACCTCTCTTTCTCTTCCTCAACAGCACCATATTGATCACTCGGATTTGATACATTACCCTTCTCTTCACCCAAATCAATATTTATCTCACTCTATCTAACAGTGTTCTCTCCCCTCCCCTCACATCCCTGGTAACAAACAAAGAAAATTTCCATCCATAGATAAACCTTTCCTAGACTTTTACAATAATGAACTAATACAATATTTGTCCTTTTGTGATTGACTTATTTCACTCAGCATAAGATGCTCCAAGTTCATCCACATTATGTGGTGTTTTGCAGACTCCACATTATTCTTTAGCATTGCATAATATTCCACTGTGTGTATGTACGATAGTTTGGTTATCCATATCTCCATTGATGGACACCTGCAAGTGACTACAACCTTGCCCATTGTCAGCTCTACTACAAACCTGGGAATTCAGATCACACAAATAAACTTATAAGACCATTGTCTGCCAATCCATACATACTCTTGGGTACACTCCCCGCTTCTGCCTAGGTTGTTTCCATCTTTTGGCTATTGCAAATAGTGCTGTAATGAACATGGGTGTGCATATGTCTATTCTTGTCATGGCTCTCACTTCCTTAGGATATATATCTAGTAAAGGAATGGCTGGGTCAAATGGTATTTCTAATTCCAACTTTTGAAGGAATTGCCATACTGCTTTCCACAATGGTTGTACCATTTTACAGTCCCACCAGCAGTGTATGAGAGTCCCAATCTCTCCACATCCTCACCAGCATTTGTTGTTTTCTGTCTTGTTGAACTTTGCCACGAGTGCTAGAGCAAGATGGAATCTCACTGTTGTTTTGATTTGCATCTCTCTAATGGCTAATGATTGTGAACATTTCTTCATGCTTGCTGGTTGCCTGAATATCCTCCTTGGTGAAGTGTCTATTCATGTCTTCTGCCCATTTTTTAATTGCATTGTTTATCTTTTTGTTATTGAGGTGATGGAGTTTTCTATAAATTCTAGAGATATGTACCTTGTCATATTTGTCATTGCCAAATATTTTTTCCCAAATCTGTAGGTTCTCTTTTGACTCTTTTGGAGAAGTCTTTGGAAGCACATAAAAGTTTAATTTTTAGAAGGTCCCATTCATCTACTTTCTCTTCTGCTGTCTGCATATTTTGGATTATGCTTGATGGTCTATTTATACCATAAATTAGGGCCCCTAAATTTGCCCCTAGTTTTTCCTTGAGGAACTGTATAGTTTTAGGTTTCCCACTGAAGTCTTTGATCCATCTGGAGTTTGTTTTTGTGTATGGTGTGAGGTACAGCTCTTGTTTCATTTTTCTACAAATGGATCTCAAGTTTTGCCAGCACCATTTATTAAACAAACATTCTCTTCCCCCATTTAATGGATTTAAGCCTTTTGTCAAAGATCAGCTGACCATAGGTCGATGGATCTATTTCTGGGTTCGCAGATCTATTCCATTGGTCTATGTGTCTGTCATCAAACCAATACCAGGCAGTTTTGACTACTGTGGTTGTATAGTAGGTTTTGTAATCTGGCACTGTGAGACCTCCTACTTTGTTCTTCTTCAGTAGTGCTTTGCTTATCCGGAGTTTCTTTCCTTTCCATATAAAGTTAGTGATTGGTTTTTCCACATCCTTAAAAAATGTTGATGACATCTGGATTGGGATTGCACTGAATGTATAGATTGCTTTGGGTAGAACTGACATTTTCACAAGGTTTGAACTTCCTATCCACGAGCATGGGATGTTTTTCCATTTATGTAGATCTCTTATGCTTTCTTGAAGTAGTTTTTTTATGGTTTTCTTTGTACAGGTCTTTTGTGTCCCTGATAAGATTTATTCCCAAGTATTTTATTTTTTTGGTAGCTTTCGTAAATAGTATTGATATCCTTATTTCTTTTTCAGCAATCTTTTTGCGGGTACAGAGGAATCCAACTGATTATTGGATGTTGATCTTCTATCCTGCCACAATGCTAAATCTCTCAATTAGCTGCAGTTAATTTTTGACTGAGTCTCTTGGGTTTTCTAGGTATAGGATCATATCATCAGCATATAGGGATACTTTGACTTCTTCCTTACTAATCTGGATGCCTTTAATTTCCCTTTCTAGCCTTATTGCCATACCAAGACTTTCAGTCAATGTTGAATAGAAGTGGTGATAGAAGGCATTCTTGTCTGCTTGCTATTTGCAAGGGGAACAGTTTCATTCTCCCTCCATTGACTATAATGTTGGCTGTTGATTTTGCATAGATACCCTTTACTGTGTTGAGGAATGTCCCCTCTATTCCTATTTTGCTCAGAGTTTTGATCAGGAATGAGTGTTGGATTTGATAAAACACATTTTCTTTGTCAATTGATATGATCATGTGGTTCTTCTTTGTTTTACTTAAGTGGTGGATGACGTTGATTCTTTTTCTAATGTTGAACCATCCTGCATACCTGATATGAACCCCACTTGGTCATAATGAATGATTTTCCTGATATGTTGTTGGAATTTACTGGCTATTATTTTGTACAAGCCTTTTGTGTAACTGGTAAGATTTATTCCCAAGTATTTTCTTTTTTTTTTTTTTGGTAGCTTTCATAATTTTCGTACTTTGTTGAATAATTTTGCATCTATATTCATGAGGGATACTGGTCTGTAGTTTTCCTTTTGAGTGATGTCTTTGTCTGGTTTTGGTACCAAGGTTGTGCTTCCTTCATAAAATGAGTTGGAAGGATTCCATCCTTTTCATGTTTTGGGATGGTTTGAGTATGAATGGTGTCAGTT